TCCAGAGAATGCACGGCAAGGTGGTAGACCATCTACCACATGTGAAGGGGGTGAAAGTACAGCCTCGCAAATTCGACTACATGTGTACAAGTGGATATGTGGCTCAACAGGCTCAGACACACCTGGACTGTTGTGGAGGGCTGAGAATGTAGACCAAGGCAGAGATGTTGAATTGCATGGACGTGATCAGTCAGCAGGAACACCCTTAAGATTGTGGAATCTAACAGGGCCCCAATGAACTCGATTTTTGATGGGAGCGAAGGTTGACTTTATGGTGTTTAAAATGAGACCCAGACGGTTGAGCAAACACAACATGGTGTTGGTGTAGGCAACAATTTCCTCTCTGGAGCTGCTTCTTAGTAGCCAGTCATCAAGGTACGGGAAGATGTGGATTCCCTTCCTCCTGAGATATGCCATAACCATGGCCATGCATCTGGTGAAAACTCAGGGGACAGAAGAGATGCCAAATGGGAAAACCATATACTAAAAGTGGAGTTATCCTACAATGAAATGGAGACACTTCCTGTGGCTTGGTAGAATCACCACATGAAAGTAGGTCCAGAGCAGCAAACCAGTCATTCTGAGACAGCGCAGGGAGGCTAGTCAATAGAGTAAACATTTGGAACCTCATGTATTTGATAAACTTGATGAGACCACAAAGATTGAGGATGGGTCTTATTCCACCCTTGGCTTTGGGTATCAGGAAGTACTAGAAGTAGAAGTCTGGTGTTCTGACAGAACTTCCTCCAGGCTCCACCACTCCCAATGCTAGCTGAGAGCAGACCTGCTCGATGAGCAGTGTCTCATGAGAACGGTCCCTGAAGAGGGTTGGAGAGGGGAGAGGAGGTGTAGAGAGCAACTGGATGGCATAACCCAATCTGACAGTGTCTAGGACCCAGTTGTGGAAAGTAATTGATCCTCAAACATTATTAACGTGGTCCAGCCTGTCCCCAACGGAGTAGGGGGAAGAAGGTTTAGCAATGACTGGAACAGTGCTCTGGACCAAGGAGTCAAAATGAGCACACAGAAGGTACAGGGGGAAGACACATGGACTGGCCAAACCCTAAGCTTGACTACTTTCTCTTGTGGGAACGATCCCTTTTTCTAGGGTAGTCCTGCTGTTTCGGGGGGAAGAAATGCACAAAGGAGTGCTGCAGGCAGTACTACTGCTGCTGAGCACCATAGTGGTGCCTCTGTGTCAACAATGTGTACCTCCGCAAGAACCTCAAGATAGCCCTGGAATCCTTAAAGGAGCACTAGTGTGTCATTGATCTTTTCCGAGAACAAGGTCCATCCGTCAAAAGGCAAGTCCTCAATGGCTTGCTGGACATCATGTGCAATTCCAGAGTTTTGCAGTCAGTAAGCCCTCCTCGCAGTGATTACAGAAGCCATCACCCTGGTCAAAGTGTCTATAACATCAAGAGCAGACTGCAGGGATGTCTTGGGCACCAAGCAGCCTTCCATGACAAACACCCAAAACTCCTCACACAAGGTCTCAGGCCCACGAATTTGTACATAGCTGTCCAATTAAGGAAATTATATTTGGACACCAAGACTTGTTGATTGGCGATCCACATATGTAGGGACAAGGACCTTCTGGGCTGGAAACTCTACACGTCCAACAGCTTGGAGTCTCTGTCGTTAGCAGTGGACTTTCTGCCCTGTCGAACCGTGTCATTCACCACCATTACAACCAGGGAATCGGAATAGAACTCCTCAAATCCCTGCACAGGAACAAAATAGCAATTCTCCATGCACTTAACCAATGGCAATACCGAGGCTGGTGTGCTCCAGAGGGCTTTTGCTGGTTCAAGGAATGCATCATTGATTGGGAGGGCAACTCTCCCAGAGACAGATGGCTGCAGAATGTCCACCAATTTGTGGGTGTTCTCATGTAGGAACTCTGCCTGAATGTCAAGGGACCTGGCTACAATGTAAAAGGTCTCAGTATGCCTTAAAGTCCTCCAGTATGGAAGGGGAGGATGAATCAGACAGAACAGCATCATCGGAGATGAGGACGATGTTCTTGATTGAGCCAAAGCCGGATCTTGCTCCCGGGATGACTTACCCAGATGGGAGGACTCCGGAGGCTCTACAAGGGGGAGGCCCACTGATGCCTGGGCTTGCAGCTGATCTGCAACCATCACTGTTGATTTGGTGAATGATCTCGCCATTGAATGTAATGAGGAGTGGGATCTCTGCAAGCGAGGGGCATCCCACTGAGTCCAAGGAGGCCACTGACATGAGTAGGACATCGCTGGCCAGTAGGCACCAGGTCAGGGACCTCTGTCCTGACCACAGGGTGCATGCCAATCCTGGGAGCCATAACAGTCCATTAGTGGCCCACAGTGCTCATTGAGTGATGTGGAGCAGGAGGAGGATGACCCCGACTTGAATGCAGAAGAGTTCTGGGATCTTGGTGACTGGGTGGAGCAACAGCAGAGGAAGAGAGTAGGTGATCTGATTCATCCATCGCCCAGAATGAGGCAGGAAGTGGTGCCTCAGATGAGAGCACATGCCTGTGCCGAAGGCAGTGTCGGTCCTGACGTGAATACTGGTACCAGGGTGCCCAAGTGTATAGATGTCAAGTGTGCTTTATTATCTTAACTAGGCACTTGGCCAGAGCACTAAAAGCAACTGTATTTGAGAGGTAACTGCCAGCAGAAAACACAAACTGGAATTTCTTGCTCAGTTTTTATCTTTTTACACTAACGGAGTAAGGTGTGCTCAAGAAATTTGCTGCAGTGTTTAACTGTTCCAAGGTTTACAGTTAGAGCCATAATAGCCTCTCGACAGAGAATTTGTAATTTTCTTTCTTCCTACAGAGCTGTTTCCATTAGTTTTATCTGAATGAATGTTAGCACTGAACCTTCAAGGGTCCTTCCCATTATCAAGACTGCCAGCTGTAGAACTTGGTAATACAAATGCAAGACAGGATTTGCTCTGTGAGATACTGTGTTTAATTACAATACCTCATTACCAGGGGATTTTGATTAAAATTCCCCTTGATTTTAGGTCATGTAGAATTAAAGGGAAATTAGAGGTGGGATGTAAGTGAAAAATCATTGAAGAATGAAAAGTAACTCATTTCAATTGAGAGATGTTTTGCTAGGTCACAGGACAACCCCATAAGGGTAAGAGCTAGAAAAATATGGTTTCAGTTTCAATTATACCAGGTAACAAAAAATAACTTAAAAGTGCATGCACTGTTCTGAGAAACTTTTTGTAATACCTGATGATTTAAGCACATGATATGAAGAAACAGTCCTGAGTATCCTGTTTTTGTTGTATTTGTCTAATCTGGAATATTAATTTAGTTTTTCTAGTGTTAAATAACAAACCCGTCACTGTGATTATTGTGAGATATTTTGATGGAATTTTAAGTAGAACCTATTGTGATCCCAGTAGAAATACTACTGTGATGAATACAGGATGGATGGATAGACAGAAGTTGCCTAGGACTTTGCTTGCAGATCACACAAACAGTATTGACTTTTTGCAAGCCCTTATGTTGGTCATTCTGCCAATGAACATTTAGGAAATCCAGACTGGTGTGTTATTGACACAGTATACCAGACCCCGCTCTCTTAATGATGTTCCTTTTTATTATCAAAGAAAAAGTATAACTATGACTCTTCCCTGCCATTTTAATTCATTCTCATTTTGAAAACCTCCACAGGATTACAGATTTACACCTAGTTCTGAGTTGTATTGGTGAAATATGTTTGCAACTTCAGAACTTCAATTATCTCTCCCTTCTTTAATTTAGAAATATCTGAAACAGTAGACATCAAATCTGGTAAATAAAGTTCACTCCTGGGCTTCAACCTGTCATAATCAATTTCAGCCAAGAACACTTTTATAGTTGGCTCCCTCAAATGGAAACTTTTATAGATTTCCAATTATAATCTTACTGTCAGGCATCAAATCAGTTTCTACCAAAATAAACATAATAAGGAGGGAAGAAAGGTTATATTTCAAGACAGAGGGTAGTGGTACTGTAAGTTGAAAAAACAATGAAACCCTGTTAGGGGACTGGAGAACCCCTCCCCTCCCAAAATGCACCTTTACATGCTCCTGTGTCCTGGGGACGTGGCACCTTTGCCCTTGTTTTAATGTTTATCTTCTTACCACCTGTTTCACATTTTCTAGCAGTTGGGGGAGCCATGGTTGGGCATGTCTGGACATGCTAATTATGTGACATGTGACCATCACAAGACACATGAGTAACTTAGAATCTATACCGGGTGTTAAGAGCTTCTCTTTGTGGTGTTATGGTGACAGACTCTGAACAGGGAGAAACGTTCATCTGCCCACAACCAGTATGCCTTGCTGGATCACCCAGCAGGGAGGGCGATTGTTTACTTTATTTGGTGTAATATAGCCTAGGATCATGTAATCTATTGTAGTTTTCAACAAATGGTTAAAATCCAACTGGTCTCTCTCAAACTTAACTGAATTGCTTTAGGGGAAAGGCAGCTTGTAACACCCTAGAATTGTTTATATTGAACCTTCAAATTGTTTATACTACTGATTCTGTCGAAATACTCAAAAAAAACCCAGCAGCATATGTATTCAGAGGACAAAGTCTACATATTTTTGAATATTTTTAAAATGATTTTCATGCCGGTGAAAGGGGTCTGTCAGCCACTGAGAGTGAAATCTTTTTTAATCCAAGGAACAGGTACAATACAGATACTTTCAGTATACAAGATTTCTCATGTTGCCCCATTAATTTGCCTCAACCCCATTCTGGATGGCACATCTATAAGAATAAGAAGGAGGTTCAGTTTTCCATTCTCACATAATCAGTGTACCCTTTTCTGAGAAAGTTGGTTGTGGTATGTGCTCTTGTCCACTAGGAATTGGACTTGGAGCCCAAACTCATTTCCTGTAGCCCATTAAATAGCCATGTGATAGTAGTGGTTTTGAACCAGTGACCAATAGCTGAAGGTTTCAACATCCCATTAGCAATCCTCTAACCTATCCACAGAGAATACCTTAGTAATGGATGGAAGTGCTGATGCCCAGTTTGCCTTCTTGGACAATCTGGGGAACCCAATAGCTTTCCTCAGATAGCGATCATGTATTTCACAGGTGTTGAGGATATACAGAGCACAAGCAACAGCATAGCCTCCCCAGTTAGAGACCCCTGCAAGAGAAAGTCACTATGAAACTGGACAGTAAAAATTAAATGTAAAAAGTTTTTTAAAAGTTGTGAGTGAACCTAATCCACATAAGTCTCAAACGGTGGGGGAGAGGTAGGAATGTCCTAATAATATTCATTTGGAACAAGAAGGGTTTTTTAATGAAATGTTTTAAGATCGTACAAACATTTCATACAGTACATTGTACACACCCTACCAGTTTACTAAATTCTGAAAAGTTACTGTACTACTCAATCTAGAGCTATGATTTGAAATTAACTACGTTGAAAAACTCAGCTGTAAGGGCTAAAGACTGGAGATGTCTCTAGCCTTCCATATTACTTTGATAGGTTAGTTGCCAGTGACAAAGTTAGCCGCAATCAGAAACCAATTTATGGACCAGTGGTGGAATACACAATTTCATGGGTTTTATTAGCAAGATTTTTTCCTAGTGCCTGTTTTGGATTGACATAGTCTATAAGAACAAGACATGTGCTGTTTCATTAACTGTTCCACAGAGATATTCTATTTTTAATATGTCTTACAGTTGTTTATTTTTATCCTTGCAGAAACATTTTACCAGGAACATCTCATGGGGAATTCTACAGCATCAACAATTTTCCTGCAAGCTATTATTAGATTACCTATGTTATATCAGATACATCATATAGTTTATTGACATGCCTCTGAAATCAGTCCTTCAAAGTACATATTCATATTTGGAGTGATACTAATTATCTAATAATAAATGAGAGAGCCGGGAATAGAATTCAAGAGTCGTGACTCCCAGGCCTGTGCTTTGACTCCTAAATCATGTTTCATCTCACTTGGTGGATACAAATCTTGTCATTCCCGTTCACATTTGGGTATCTTCTGTAATATAAAAGTTCCTAACTTTGTTATATGCTGTATTTGTGTGTCTAATTTAGAGTTGAGCAAAGTTTTTTAGCTGTTTGTGTGAACTTTTATTTCAGATCCAATAAGTGCAGGTTTGAAGCTACTAGTTTAGTTTGGGGGTTTGTGGTTCAAACAAATGCAAAAACTCAAAGGGAAATGGTCAAAACCAGAATTTCACTTGGCTTTGTGCCAAAGCCATAGATTCTGTGTGGCTTTGACTGAACCAAGTCTTGCCAACTTTTGCAAACTTAGGATGAGCTGAGTTACCAGCTTTTTCCAAAACCAGGTGAGGTTTGCATGGTGTCAGATTTTATAATAAATTTTATAAAGTTCATAGCTTATTTCTTTTGTTCACAAAGAGCATAGGCTGCGTAAAGAATTCAGCCATTTTATGGGAAGAACAGCTGTGATGAAAACAGCAAATGTCTGTCTGTCTGTCTGTCTGTCTGTCTGACTGCTGATGAAGTCTATAATTCTTCTTTAGGGCTTTGTGGGATTGTAAGTGTTTATCCCAACAAAGTTAATATCCATGAATTATTTGTACACTGAGATCAGATTAGACCTCATTGTCTTTTAAGTGATGTTTGGCAACTTCTTTGAAAATACTTGATCACATTCTAATACTCTGTTTGCATTTCTCTCAGCAGACTTCATATCTTATCATTACTGATCCAGCAACTCCGATCGCACGACTACTGCTCCTGCACCCATAATTGCACAACTACTGTTCCTAGACCTCTGTTTCCAGAAGTCTGGAATACTTAAATTTTCCACACTTCCATTTTTAGAAAATTTGGAAATGAATTTTGTAGTGCATGTTACATTCTCCATTTGACCTTCCTGCTCAAAACACATTCCTTTTCTTTTCTCTACTGTGTCTTGGGCTAGCCAGCTGCTCTGAATATAAACACTGCAGTTCCTACAACTTTAGGACATGCACATGGGCAGAAAGGGTAGAAACAATCAGACTCTTCAATCCCTATTTTCCCCCCAACTACTTCCTATTTCTGTACCATTGGTGTTGGAAATCTAGCTTTCCTACTCCCTTCTATTAAAGTGACCTTCCATTATTAATTACACATACATGGGCACCCATTGCACTGAGCTATAGCACAATATAGACCACACAATTTGTAAATCTGTCATTGCTGAATCCGTCTCCTTTACTATTAACTTCTCTAAAGTCTGTTTCGTGCTGGCCAAGTCAATAGGGTAGGAAAAGGTTCTAAACATGAAGTTGTATTTATGTTTTGTTACATGCAAAATTTAGAATGTATAGAAGCCCTGTAGACATTATTTGATAGAGTTCGCATCCCCCCATATGGAGCATATTGCAATTGATTTTATCCTGGTATGGTACACCCCTAGGGCACTAACAAATACATGAAAACTTATATGAATACAAAGTTCATTTAATTCCTGCATAGAAGATGGCTGTACAGTTCTCCTTGAGAGTCAAATGATTTTAATAGTTATTTAGGGGGGGAATTTTCATAAGTACTCAGTGTTGGTCTAGTTCTGCTCCCATTGAAGTAACGCTGACTTTAATGAGAGCAGAGCTAGGCCAATACTGAACACTGACTTCAATGGGAGCAGAGATAGGCTGAATGCTTTTGAACACAACACCTTTAATTGCTTAGTACAGTTTCTAAATGAAATTAACAGCAGTCTAAAAGTTAAAAAGGCTCCAAAGTAACTCACAAACAGGATTTTAGAATCAAGTGATGATCTTTGATCTTTTAATTTTGCAGGAACTCATTATGAAAAGTTCAATCCTGGGACATGCTGAGCATTCTCCATTTTCAGTTATGCCAAGGGAAGATGTGGATGCTCAACACCTCACAGGATTGGGCACAAAACAGAGAACGTTCACCGTAACTGAATGCTCAGTAAGTCATTTAGAGAAAGTGCCAAACCAAAATTAATCTGCAACGCATGTGCTTTGTTCTCAATTTTTTAAAACTTACCGGCTACAATAGCGAAATCAGCTTCAACGTCACAAGCTATAACATCTCCATTTTTTATGTGTTTCCTTACAGCTTCTTTTACTTTTCCCATTCCCAGTTCATTTCCTCCATCCCCAATGCCTTCATTAAAAAATAAAAAAGATCCCATGAGTATCCAAACCACCTTACAAAGACAAACCCATTTATAAGCTATCCAGTGCCTTTCACAGTAGTCTGTGTGTAACAGGTCAGCTCTCTTGAACTGTTTCAAAAGTTTCACAAAACAGGAGATCACAAAAACAATAGCTGAAAACAATGTAGCGAGGGGGTGTGGTCTCCCTCCCTGATGGATGGAGAGAGAGCTGCAACCACCCCCTGGTGGGCAGAGCCGGGACACCCGCGACTGCCCTGCTGGAAGCAGAGGAGTGGGACAGGAACTGGAAATATAAAAGGCAGGCCCTCCAGTTCAGCTGGGGGAGAGCTGCCAGAGGAGTAGGACATCTCCCCCCCACTGCTGAAGCTTGGACCTGATGGAGGCAGCTACAGTGCCAGAAACCCAGAGGGATTGCTGGAGCTGCCAGGAACCGGGAACACCGAGGCGTTGTTGGGGCTGCCATTAGCTATTTACTAGTAACTAGAAATTATGCTCTGTAAGCAACAGCTACAAGAAGGTGACATTATCCAATGCTCTTGAACAGCACTGACACTATGTCTAGGAAAGAGAGGTAGTAATCTTACACTTCATGGAAGGACTTAGACAAATATAATATATTTTTGTATATATGTGCAAAATATTGTGAAATATTTAAAGCAAAAGAGGTAAACTTTGTCTTGTTGCTAGTTTTGAGAAAATAAAACAAGTAACAATTTTTGCAGAAATATATGCAAAGGGTATGTGATGCCTTTGGAAGTAGCAGGAGTTCTTGCCCCAGAATTTAGGAGTGTTTCCTACAGCATTTAGTCCCCTTGTGCCATGGAGTAGAGGGAGCCCTAATTATACTCTCACTACTCTAATTTTCCCCACCAGTTTTCCTCTTAGAAAAATAGACCTATTCTTTTAAAAATTGGTCACTGATTTGGAGTGTCTGTTTTTGGGTGCTCTACTTGAAACACTTTGTATCTGACTTTCAGATGTGCTGAGCAGCTATAGTACCATTAAAGTCAGTGGGAGCTATAGGGACCAATAAATGTCTGAATAATTGTTGGCTGTCCTAGATGTCTTAAGTTGGGCACCCAAAAATTGAGGACCTTCTGAAAAATGTGGCTGATAGCCAGAGATCTGGAGAGCAAGATACCAGATAAATCATTAAATTACATGAATACTGGTGAATTCACAAAATTAAGTGGATAAATAATTGGTTAAACAACTGCAAACAAAGAGTAGATATTAATGGAATGATGTCATCTTGGAAGAAAGTCTCAAGTGGGGTTTCACAGGGATATGATCTGGGTCTGGTGTTATTTAACATCTTTATTTATGACCTGGATGTACAAATAGAGAGCCTACTGATCAAATTTGCAGATGACACAAAGCTAGAGGGAGTTGCCAACACTTTGGAAGATAGAGCTAAAATTCAAAGGGATCTTGATAAATTAGAGAACTGGGCTATAGACAACAAAATGAAATTCAACAAAGACAAATGTAAGGTTCTACACTTAGGGAAGAAAAACCAAATGCACTCCTTGAGGTGAAGTCTCATGATATTGGGATGGCATATCTGACCTGCGTCTTGTGAAAGGAGATGGAGCAGGAAGGGAGAGTGCGTGGTGGGCATGCAGACATCTTCAGAAGGTATGGGAACCATGGTTAGTGGGGCCATATGGGGGCTCTTAGGATGATTTTGGAATTGTCCTTTGTGTATCACTCGTGATAGAAGCGGGGTCAGGGGGAAGGCGTAGAGCAGTGGTGCATCCCATTTGAGGAGAAAGGCATCTCCCAGTGAACAAGGACCCAATCCTGCTCTGGAACAGAACTGTGAGTATTTGGCATTTCGCGTTGTCCCAAAGAGGTGTATTGTTGGAAACCCCCACCATTTGAATATATTGTTTAGTACTTGATCATTCCTTTCCCACTCATATTCCTCAGAGAATTTTCTGCTTAAGACATCTGCATTGGTGTTCTGACATCCAGGTAGATACGCAGCTGAGATGTCAACATTGTGTTTGATGCACAAGATCCAAAGTAGTATGGCTTCTGTTCACAGGAAGTATGAGTGTGGCCCCCCCCTTGCCAGTTTATATAAAACATGCAGGCAACATTGTCTGTGAAGATTTTGATGGTTTTTGTGACACCATGGCACCCCCATATTCACCACTGTTGAGAGGGCTACTCACCTTGTGCAGTAACTGAGATTCTTTGAGATGTGTGTCCCTGTGGGTGCTCCACTTTAGGTGTTGAACGCCCCTGCACTTGTAATCGGAGATTTGTGGTAGCAGTGCCTGGTTGGGTCACACATGCACAGTCCCCATCTCGCACCGCCTCAGGTGGTTAACTGGCGCTATGTGACCAACCCCCGCTTTGTTCCTTCTCTACTGCAGAGGATAGTGAGAAACTCCGAAGTAGAGGGGAGAAGGGAGGGTTGTCGAGCACCCACAGGGGGACACATCTCTAAGAATCTCAGTTATTGTGCAAGGTGAGTACCCCTCTCTTCTTCTTCGAGTGATGTCTCTGTGGGTGCTCCACTTTAGGTGACTTCAGAGCAGTGCTCTCCAATGGAAGGGAGGGGCTTCGGAGTTGAAGTCATGGCAGAGGATAATACAGTGAGTCCGAATAATGCATCGGACGTTGCATGCTGCTCTAATGCATAGTGCTGCGTAAATGTATGGGCGGGTAGAGGCTCAGGTCGCAGCTCTACATAAGTCTGTAATGGGAACACTGTTCAGAAAAGCCCTGGTGGAATGTGTACGAATCCCCAGAGAGGGTTGCAGGTTCTGTTGCTGGTAACACAGTTTGATGCATTCTGAAATCCATTTGGAGAGCCCCTGTTTGGATATGGCATCTCCTTTTGATCATTCCGTGATTGAAATGAATAATTTCAGGGACTCGCAGAATGACCTTGTTCTATCTATGTAAAAAGCCCGGGTCCTATGAACATCGAAGGTGTGACTTAGGATAGAACATTGGTAAGTAGATGGGTTGGTTAAGGTGGAATGAGGAGACGATCTGAGGTAAAAACTTGGGATGCAGTCTGAGAGTGATTTTATCTTTGGAAAATACTGTGTAAGGTGGGTCAGCCATGAGGGCCCCTAGTTCCCTCACTTGTCTTGTGGATGTAATGGTGACTAGAAAGGCCACCTTCATTAAGGTGAAGAAGTGAGCAAGTGGCTAATGGTTCGAACGGATGTCTGGTGATGCCCCGGAGAACTTAGTTGAGGTCCCAAGGTGGAGTGGGAGTGAGAATTTCGAGGTATAGATTCATAGATTCTAGGACTGGAAGGGACCTAGAGAGGTCATCGAGTCCAGTCCCCTGCCCGTATGTTGTTGAGGCCTTTCAGAAAATGTTTGATGGTAGGGTGTGCAAAAATTGATGTGCCATCCATCTTATAGTGGAAAGAAGCTATGGCTGAGAGATGTACCCCGACTGAGCTAATAGAGAGGTCTGATCTCTTAAGTTCAAGCAGGTAATCCAGAATCAAAGATAAGGGCGCAGATACCGATGTGGTCTGCTTTGTGTGACACCAGGAATCACATTTGTGTAAGTATGTGTGGCGGGTAGTTGGTCTGCGACTATTTAATAAAATATTCTGCACTTCTTTGGAGCATGTCATTTCAGGTCCCTTGAGCCATGGAGCAACCGTGCTTTGAGGCGGAGTGTCTCCAAGTTTGGATGCAGGGTTTGTCTTGAGTCCTGGGACAGGAAACGAGGTAGGAGAGGAAGCGTGCGAGGTCTGCACGCTGACAGTCTGAGAATGTAGGGGAGCCATGTTTGATGAGGCCATGTGGGGGCTATCAGTATTACTGTGGCCTTGTCCTCTTTGATCTTGTGAAGCACTCGTGCCATTGGCAGGGAAGGCGTATAGGAGGGAAACGTCCCATTTGATAAGAAAAGTGTCTCCCAAGGAGTGAAGGCCCATTCCGGCCCTGGAGCAAAGCAGTGGGCATTTGGTGTGCTCTGTTGCAAAGAGGTCTACTGTGAGGAATCCCCACTGTTTGAATATGTTGTGGAGAACCCTGATGTCGAGTTCCCACTTGTGATCCTGAGAAAAGTTCCTGCTGAGTGCATCTGCCGTAGAGTTTTGACATCCAGGCAGGCATGCTGCTACAATGTGGATGTTGTGCAGGATGCACCAGTGCCAAAGTCGCATGGCCTCTGCACACAGGGAGTGTGAGTGTGCACCCCCTTGTCTGTTTATATAGAACATACATGCTAAATTGTCCATGAAAATTTGTAGGTCTTGTTTCTGATTATGGGTAGAAAGTTGGCGCATGCATTGAGAATGGCTCTTAGTTCTAGTAGATTTATGTGAAGCTGGGCTTCTGTTGGGGACCAATGACCCTGAGCAGAGCATGAGTTCAGATGTGCTCCCCAACCTATGAGGGACGCATCTGTTGTAATAGTCAATGTAGGAGGGGTTTGGGTGAAAGAAACTCCTAGGCATACGTTGTGTGGTTGCGTCCACCAGGATAGTGAGTCTTACTTTGCTTGGCATCGTGAGGTGTTTATTTATACTGTGCCTTCGTGGGGAATAAGTTGTGCGAAGCCAAGCTTGTAGGGTTCGTATATGTAGCTTCACGTGTTGGACGACAAAGGTCGATGCGGCCATGTGGCCCAGTAATTGCAAGGAAGTCCTGGCTGTTAGCTGGGGACTGTTCAGCGATGTGGTGATCAGATTCGTTAGAGTTAGAAAGCATTGCCTTGGTAAAGATGCTGATGCCTTGGGTGTATTGAGATAAGCCCTGATAAATTCCAGTTCATTGTGTGTTTATTTGGAGACCTAATTGCGTAAAGAGATCTACTGTTTGTTGGGTAGCCTCTATTGCTGCTGGTCAATTCGCTGCTTTCAATAAGCAGTCGTCCAGATATTGAAATATCATGATTCCTCTCTGGCAGAGGTGTGCAGCGACTATCGTGAGTACCTGTGAAATGACTGGGGGGCAGCGGACAGACCAAAGGGCAGGACCGTGTATTGGAAGTACTCTG